GATTTTGTCCCGTCACTACAAAAAATAGAATTCTTTGAAGAAAAATCTCCTAATCTCAATGGTTTTGATTTGTACCGCTTTCTAATTTTCAAAATATGGTCACTTTAGATGACAGTGAACGAACAACGGACGGTGTTGAAATTTGAAATAATTTGACATATCTTTATAGAGTTTGTATTTTAAATTAACCTCTAGGAATAATTATTCCAAACATTCTGAGTCAGGTATTAAAATTATTTTACTGTAAAATATGTTTTACACATTTTACTTCAGCATACGTAAATAACACTGCAACAGAACTAGTTCCCATTTGGCATACTTGACAAAACTAAACGCAAAACGAACATTACAAATCATAAAATATCTGTTAAATACTATAAAATTTCGTTGATTGTTAAACGTAGAAGCACTTTCATTTGCACTTTTACGTTTTACCAAACAGTTTCAAAAAAGCTGTTTCGAGTTTGCTCATTTATCTTTTGCCGTTTCGTAATCGTACGAAACAGTTTGATGACGGTGGACGAGTCCATTGTTACTTTAGTATTTGTTTAAATTGTTATGAACCAAACGACAAAAATTGATTAATTTTTATACGTTTCCCAGTGTATTAAGTTCCCATGCATTGGTACATACGAAAACTCATTCAGTTTCGCTTCTTGCGTAGGTATTCTTTGCCATCTCTATCATAATAATTCAGTAGCCATCTGTTGGCAACTAGTTTCATACTTTCTGGATTGAAAAAATGAAGAATCATTTATTTGAAAGGCATTCTGAATGACTCTGCATCGATCACTGACATCCCGATGATTAGTGAGGACATTATTACCGAACTTCACGAACGTCAAAAGAGAGCCAACAACTTGCTTAGTCTTTAACCTACCTTGATCTTAATCAAGTCAAACTCTTATAACAAAGGCCACTGGTGCTAATAGCACTGACATTAACGATACCAACGTTTTCCGCTTTGGAAAGATTAATAAAAATGGACATCGACCACTTAAAGTTGTGTTGAAATCAACTCGTGACGTACACGCTATTATTAAAAACAAACAATATTAGCCGCGATAAAAAGATTTTTATACATCTGGACCAAACTCCTAACCAGAAGAAAACTCTGGACACTGTCAGAAGCGAGTTTTTGAGGCGTCAGCATGCTGGTGAGCTAAACTTAACAATTAAATATGTCAACAATACTCCTGTAATTATTACAAAAACTAGATTCAGGCAAGCTGGCTGTTTATTACCAGAACGTTAGAGGCCTTCGAACAAAACTATCCCAACTACTCGTATGTCTCATTGTTACAAATTTTTCCTTCGATGTAATTATTCTTACTGAAACATGGCTCACAGCTGATATCAACGATGCCGAACTTGGTCTTAACGGTTATAACATCTACAGACAGGATCGTTCACCCTAGTCCAGCATCTTTGGAAGAGATTAACTTTTAATGCTAAATGAGCAACATCCGGTCAGTCAATTTCACATTTTTGGCGATTATAATCTACCTACAGCAACATGGGATATTGAAGATTTCTGCTTTTCAGCTTCAGCTCATCCCAGTTCATCACTATCGAAAGAAGGTGCTACCGAAATCGTCTCGAACATATGCGCTTTTTACAATCTTTTCCAGACCAACAAAGTGCTCAACCAAAGAGGAGTTATCCTCGACCTTGTTTTGTCCCCGGTGGAACTCACAGTGATGGTAACCGTTGATATATTGATCCCACCTAATGTTCATTATCCTCTTCTTGAAACTTTAATTCAATATAAGACTAACTCAAGTGATGCTCCTGGAGAAGAGAGTATTATTATGATTTTGGCCATGCCAATTTAGAGGATATACGCCAATGTTTAGAGGCAATGAATTTGGATGGGCTTCTTCAAGGAACTTTTCTAAATTATTTTTACTCTTTATGACGCTTTGTACTCGGTAATTGAGTTATTTGTTCCCTTAAAGAAATTTGTTATAGACATATTCTCACATTCTCTTTTCAACTCAGAAGCTTGGTCAACGATAAAAAGGTTGCACATAAGATTTACAAGCTAAACAGGACTACCCATAATTATGAAATATTCAGTCAGTTAAGATCGTAATGCAGGATTATATATAGAGAATGCTACTCAAATTACATACATTCTGTTGAAACTTCTGTTAAAAGTAATAAAGCCTTTTGGAATTTTGTAAGTACTAAAAGATTTAATAACACTATACCTGATATGAACTTTGAAGACTCTTTTGCTTCTTGTGGCAGTGAAGTATTAAATCTGTTTGCCAAGCATTTTTATCAGTTTACACTAATCAAAATCTAAATCAAAATTTTAACGATATTGAATCAAAACTTAATGTTTCATCTTACCACATTTTTATTTCGACCATTTACGAGAAATTATCTAATCTTGACATAAAGAAAGGTTCAGGTCCTGAAATTATTCCTCCCATCCTACTCAGAAATTGCAGCTTCGTATTGTCTCGCCCTCTCTTCTATATTTTCAATAAATCTGTCGCCAAGGGTGAGTTTCCAGATTATTGGAAACTATCTTATGTCACTCCAATATACAAATCAGGTAGCAAGTCAGACGTCAAAAATTACTGTCCTATACCTATACCTATACCAGTACTATACCTAAGGTTTCTGAGAATATTAAAACAGACTACCTTACCTATGACGGCTCTGGCATCATAACGGATCATCAATATGATTTTTGTGCTAGGAAATCGACTGAATTAAATCTAGTTACCTACATCGACTTCCTGTCGGAAGCTTTGGAGAAGGGTTGTCAGATTGATTCTGTGTACATTGATTTTTTTAAGGCTTTTGACAGGGTCAACCATTCTCTCTTACTTCATAAGCTCGATAAATATGGCATAAATGGGGTCGTACTGCAATGGATTAGTAGCTATCTTACGAACAGAACTCAAATGGTTAGAGTAAACCATCACTATTCTAACTCATTTCAAGTTACCTCAGGAATTCCTCAAGGTTCACACCTTGGTCCCTTATTATTCAACTTATTTATAAATGACATCATTAATTGTTTTCAGTATGGCAAAGTACTATTGTTTGCAGATGATTTAAAAGTTTTCCTAGTTATTAAAACCATTTATGATGCCCTCTGGCTTCAGTCTGACCTTGATAATCTATCAAACTGGTGTTCCTTAAATGGCATGATATTGAATGCCATAAAGTGCCATATCATGCGCTTTTATCGATCCCATGTACCAACTACTACTTTTGATTATAACTTAAATGGTCATATCTTGTAGTCTGTTAATCAAATTAAAGACTTTGGAGTTATTCTAGATCCCACTTTAGGCTTTAATCAGCACATACCTGAGGCTATCCATAAATCCATGAAAATGTTAGGTTTTATCAAAAGGCTAACACATCAATTTACTGACCCAACTGCAATTAAAATCCTTTATTGTTCACTAGTCCGACCTCACCTAGATTATTGCTCTTCTGTCTGGTCTCCACATTACATAACGCACAGCAAAAACATAGAAAATGTTCAACATAAATTTCTTAAATACATAGCCTATACATTGGGTGTCCTTTACGAGTATGGTTTGATAGAGAATTTTCTAAACATCCCCTCTTTAGAAACTAAGAGGCAACAGAGAGACCTAACATTACTTTTCAAAATTATCAATGGCAGATGCAGCTGTACTGAACTTCTAACAAAAATAAATATTTATGTTCCAACACGGCTAAACTCGACAGTAACAAACATTTTATGTAACTTTTTATCGTTTAAACCATACTTTTAGCAGCTGTATTTCAAGAATATTAAGATTAGCCAACACTCATAACGATCCTGAGATACTCGTATTTTACACCCCCTTTCCTAAATTTATAAAGCAATTACTTAGTACTGAGCTTTAATCTTTGATCTTTAATTTTTAATGTTTAATGTAAATATTTTATTCAACCTTGTCTTTTGTCTTTTTAAATCTTTTAAATTGTTAACCTATTTTAGTCCTTATGTAATGAATTATACCACGTTTGTATTAGCACCATATATATTTCACTATATTTTAATTATAATTTAAAATTGTAATTTATTTTTCAAATGGGTTTACCCGTAAATAAATAAATAAATAAATAGTCGTTGTTCTTCTAAAAGTAAACAAATTAATTTATCTAAAGGCTTCACGAACCCATAATCAAAAATTTTAATAATACAGCCGTCCGGCGCGTCAGTTTAAAAAAGTAGTCTACAACAGAGATATACCTAAAAAATATGATAAGGCGCTGTCCGTAAGTTTTTTAAATGAACAATAAATACTTACGTTTGGCTTCACTTTTGAACCTTCATCGGTTTCTTTTTCTTGTTGTAGTGCATAAATCCTCTTCGATCTTTGCCTAATAGCGCGAACATCCTTCCGCTTTAAAATTTCTTGAAATACTGATGCAAAACTACTAATTAATACAAGTTTTACACTGTTTTGGAGGGGAAAACAGCATAAAAACAAAGCAACCTACACGTACCAATAAAGAAACCAAGTAACTGCAATGTGTAGTTAAACCCTAAACCAAAAAATTGTTAAAATTCAAAACAAAAACAAGAAATTCAGTTACTTCGTTTTTATAGTGTGAATTACATTTACCTTGTTTTTATTTTGAAAAGGCCTGTAAGTACCGGAAGTTACTTTGTTTGACTGATGCTGTATCTTCGGTGTTCGATTGCAAAGATTTGTATACCGAAATGTGCGTAAGAACAGAGCAAGGTCGGTTAACGTAAAAAGTCAATTTTTCAAAAAATGTTAGTTACTTGGTTTTTATTTTAGAATGGCCGTAATTGGCTTATTGTCTTTAAACCATGTTAATTCATAGCAGCCACTCTATCATCTTTGTTCCTTGTACAAATCCTTGAAGGGGGCGTTCTATAGGTTCTTGGATCAAACAAGTTATTAATTTAGTAATAATTGTTTTTTTTTTTATTTTAGGTACTACATCAGTAACCTGGCTACCATTGATGTTCCTTCTACTTTTTGTAGTTACGTCCATGATTGGTTTTCTGCCAATCCCGTGGACAATGACAGCTGAACTGTTTAGTCTTGAAATCAGAGGAGTCGCCAACAGCATTGCTTACAGCATAGGTAATCTACTGATGTTTGCTTCAATCCAAAGCTTTTGGGGATTAATTGACATATTCAATGGTTTTGCTGGAGTCCAGTGGTTCTTTGCAGTAATCTCCATCATGGCATCCGTTTATACCTACATCTTTGTACCGGAAACGCATAGAAAGAAGCTATCAGAAATAACTGATTACTTTAAAGAAAATGGTATTTATTTATTGTCCAAAGAAAAAGCGCCAAAGAAACAAGTCAACACAGACAAGCCAGCTACTAGAGTTGGTAAAAAAGATATCGTTATAGCAAGTAACGGTCAGAACGAAAAGCTTATACAAAACGTTTAGATATATGTATTAGAAAATCGACCGAGTTGAAGCGCATAGATTTCATACATATTTTGAATACGCTACTCACTCCAAAGTTGTATAATTTTCGTTACTTATACATTTTGATAAGTTGCAAAAATTATACAAAAAAAAAAACAAAGCGTGATATATACTTGCCAGCTATTAAAAATCTTAAGGATTGATAAGTATTAGTTAATAATATTTGGTCTAGTTAATTTGTTAACACATACGATGAGTGTTGACGAAAATATTTTAGAAGTAAGTATGCTTCAATGGCCTCAAGAATATAATAAACTTACAATTTTAGCTCTATTTAAATTTAATATTTAAAATATAATAGATATATAAATACACTAAAGCGGCTTTCATTTACACTTTTTTGCCTTCTAGTTTTTTTTTTTTAAATAGAGATCCATCAACTTAATTTGTAAGTCATAATATGTGTATTAAAGTGAATCAATTTATTCAAAATACATTTCTATTTTGATTTTATTTTAAAATTTGTAAAACTATAAAAATTTAATAAAAATAAAAAAAAATTAAACATTGGGTGTCATATAAAAGTGGTACAACTTTTATAATAAAAAATCGTGCGTTTAAAGCTGATCTTTTAAAATGTGTCAAAGTTAAACTACTTTTTGGGAATTTGTTGATAATAAATGAAGATGGAGAACGTAAAAAATAATATTTTAGAAAATATCGTTTTATTCAATCTTTCAAAATTGAGAAAATTACAAAAATCTATGAAACCATAGCGAATCGGATTATTTGAAACTAGGGCAACGATATGATTCCTAAGATTCCTAACATACTCCCCGCTTAAAGAGAAGAATAATAAAATATACAAAACAAATAAAATACAATAATAAAAATAACTAAAACTCAAGCCGACAAGGTGGTTTAACTATTCTTCTGGCCCTTATCACCGTTCTGGATTCAACATTTTCAATAGTTCTTTCTTCTTCTTTATGTTTAATCTCTTTCGTCATTCTGGTTATTCGATCTCGATTTTCTTTTTCTGTTTTTAGAAGCCTATTACATTGTTCGGTTTGACTTATTTCTAAGGAGTAAATACGTTGAAATGGTCTTAAAAGGTCTCCCTTTTGTGTTTTTATTCTTACTGTTCTTGGAATTCCATCTTTTCCCTGAATGATTTCTGTTATTCTACCTATTAGCCACTGAATCCTTTTTATATGATCTTGACCAACAAATACAATATCTCCAATTTTTAAGACGGTATTACCCTTCTTTTAGCGACTGAAGACTAGTTCTCCCAGATATTCGTTCCTAAATCGAGTACGTATATCATCTCTTAATTTTAAGGAGCTATTGTCTTTATAGATGTAGGTTTAGGGTCTGTTATTAATAATGTCCTCGCAATCTCACAAAATCGTCATTAACTCGTCATAACTGACACAAGCTTCTCCTAAATTTATTCTCAACAATTCTTTAACCAATCTTCTCTCTCAGAATCCTCCCCACCACGCAGCAGTAGGTACATTAAATATCCAATTTATTTTTTGTACTGAGGAGTACTCCAAAATTGTGCTCCAGTTTATTTGTTGTAGTGAATTATTAGTTCCTACAAAGTTTGTTCCGTTATCAGAATATATTACACGTGTACGACCTCTTCTTGCGACAAATCTTCTTAATGACATAATAAAAGCATCTGCTGAGACTGAATTAATTAATTCGAGATGTACGGCTCAATAAACCTCACAAGTGAAAAGAACTATCCAGGCCTTCGTTCCACCTTTTAAGAACAACGGATTTGCTAAGTCTATGGCCACAAATTTCGAAAGCGGCTGCATTATTTATTCTTTCTTTCGGCAAAGGTGGCATTGGTACTTCAACTGCTTTGGACCTAAATCTTTTGCAAATAGTGCATTGAAATATTACCTTCTTAATTGTGCGTCTTCCCCTCAGTATCCAGTACTTTTTTCTTAGTATGCTTAGTAAAGTTTAGCATGGCACTTTATTATGTGTTGATCAAAAATTTATCAAGTTCATGTTGAGAAGGCAGTAATATAGGAAACTTAAAATCTAAGTCATCTTCTCCATAAACTAACCTAGTTTTTCTCATCTACAAATATTTTTAATCCTTTTATATTCTTATTATCTTTAAAACTTTCTGACTGGATAACTTTAATTATCTTTATTTCTGCTTGTTCTATTTCTTCGGAAGTCAATTCGCCAATCAGTTTCTTTTTATTTTGACTACGGTTGTTAAAAAAACCTTATCATCTAGGATATCATACTGACCATCCTAATAAATTTAGAGGGGTAACAAATCTCTTTCTTTCCAAAACTATCTCTTCATTGGAGTAGTCAACGTTAAAACATGGCCAACTTTCTTTGGATTCCGTAATTAAATCATGTAACTATTCTCGACTATTAACGCTTGTTACAAGATTGTCTGCGTAAAAGGAATCGTTTGACTTACTTGCAGTATTTTTTAAATGAACCGGAGCTTTATCTAAGTGATAATTAATAGTGACTGCTAACAAGACTGGACTTGACTTTACCCCAAAAACAATACGACAATGTCTAATTTTCTTATTTTGCTCCTGGTAGTTCTGCTACCAAAAAAAAATTATAGAAGGTCCCTATCATCAGGGGAGATACTGATTTGCATAAAAGCTTTTTCTATATTTGCGGTAATTCCAAAAATACCTAACCAAAATTTTATTAATAATTTTGGAATTAGTTCAATTAAATTTGGTCCTGCTTCAAGACAGCTATTTAAAAAGTTACCTAATTCGTCTTTTGCTGACGCATCAAAAACAGGACGTACTTTGGTGGTTTTACTGTCCTCTTTTATAACAGCATGGTGTGGTAGAAAGTGTATAGATTGGTTACCTGCAGTATCTTCACTTACTTCTTCTATGAATTCCAGTTTATCCCATTCAAAAAATACGTTTTGATAGTCTGATAGCTTCTTGAGGATGACTAGTCTGTTACTTGTAGAGGAAAGACCCGACAATGCCATTTGTTCGTCGCAATCTTCCCTCCAAGGAAGTCTAATTTGATACCGACCTTCGGGATTAACTTTAATCGTTTCATAGAAGAAATTTATTGTTTCTTCCTCTATCTTCTGCTTGGCTTTAACCTCTGCTGGATCTGTTATACCTATACCTTCCAAAATCCACAGATCTGTAATAAAAACATGAGAAAGACACAAAATATGTTTTTACATAAAATGTGTTTATATTGGCCTATAATGGTCCATCCCAAACAAGTTTCTGTAGCCACCAGCCCATTTTGTAAATTCTCAATATTTCCAGTTAATAAATGACCAAATACATCAGTACCTGATAATAATTCTTCTACTTCTGGTGATGCGGATGAAAGGCCTGAATCAGTTAAAATTATATTTTTCCTAAGTTTATTAATTAGTAATATATTTTTTAATCGAGGAATGAAATTGCATATTTTGTTTTGATCTAGACCTTCTAACTTGAATTCAGAATTATCCTGTAAGTTCTGGACAACAATTTCATACTTATTGTGCAGTTTTGGAGATATTTGAAGTCCGCCTAACACATCTTGAATAAGATCTTCTGTACCTACTCTGATGTAACCTAATTTTTGCACAATTACTTAATATGTATGATTTCTGAGACCCTGTATCCAATAATGCTCGTACAACTTTAACAGTATTTTTATTCGGGTTTATTATTTTTACCAAAATAGTCTTAAGCAATGTATAGCTTTGGGTAATATTATTTGAAAGAAATGAGTTTTCTAAACTAGTGTTATCTTTTTGTACTTTAGGGTTAGATTCTATTTTAGTAACCAAATCTGGACACATAATTGGAAAATGTTTTCCAGAACAGACTAGATATTTATCCAATGTTTTACAATTACGGACAGAATGGTTAGTTTTAGACACGCAAAGTTTATTATTTTTGTCTTCCTTTCCTCTAAGGTCATTTTTTGTGTTTTGATGCAATCCTGACTTGCGTGATTACAGCTACAAAATAGACTAATTGGACTTTTCTTACCCTTATTCTGATTCTTTATATTTCCAGAGAATAATGTTGCGGCTGAACATATCTCTTTCTCGAGTCCTTGCTTTATGCCGCTAGTGGTAGTGAAATGGGAGTAATTTGTCTCTTTTTCTGTTGCAAAACCTGCTTGTGCTCTTTTAATTCTTTCTTCAGAGTCAACTTCACTTCGAAGAAAATCTAATAACATTTGCAAAGGGTTATTAAAATCGGAATAAAATTTACCTTTACCCTAGTCTATGTTGTATGCATATTTTTCACTTGTAACACCCAGTGATTCTAAAGATTTTAACTGCGTTTCTAAGTTGTCGTAAAGAGTGGTTAGTGGCATACCTGAATGGGCATTATTTTTTTGAAGAACGAGATTAAGTAGTTCACGGACATATACCTCAATAAGGATCTCATCTCTGGCAATAACGTAATAATTTTATTTATTTGGTGGATATCCTTCTATTAATTGTCTTCTTCCATGGAACTTATCAGGTACTGAAATTTATTTTCTACGTCAATATCGCAGTCTTCATGGATTTTTTAAACTGTCCCAAAAACCAATCCACTTCTTTACATCACCATTAAATTTCTTCAATTCGATTTTGGGTAAGTTGAATCGTTTCTTTTTCTCTCATCTCTGAACTAAAACTCTGAATATCTTCTTTCTTCTTCTCCAAGGCACGTTGACATGTTATCCTATAGTGTATATGTTTAGACCTGTATTCTTTAGCTTCTTTTAATTCGTGCTTTATTTCTTCAGTGGTTATCTTTTCATAGGAGTACATAGCATCTTTAATGTTCGTGTCTAAATTGCATAACCTTTCTCCTTGGTCCTGTAGTGTGCTTATTAGAACCTGTACGTGAAAATCATCAATGAAATCATCTTTCTTGAAGGCTTCTCTTAATTCGCCTCTTTCTAGCTTCAAGTTCTCCATCGTATGTCCTGTCACGGTCGCCACAAATGTTGATAATAAATGAAGATGAAAAACGTAAAAAATA